GGAAGTGTAAGCCAAAGAAACCTTTCCTCCCTAACTTGCTTTTTGGTTATGGTGTTTCATCGCAGCAATGGTAACTCTGAATAAGATAATGTGACTTATGTGGCTCTTCCTCCTCCTCCTTCTCCTCCTTCTCCTCCTTCTCCTCCTCCTCCTCTTCCTCTTCCCCTTCCTCTTCTTTATCCTCCTCTTTTGTTTCTCTGAAAGCTTGAGTTCAAATGGTCAAGGATTCACCAAAGAAATCCTTATTGTAAAGATCCACTTGGGTCAAATCTCTCCCACCTCCCTTGGCCTCATTGCCTGTGCCACACTTCTCTCACTGCCCCAAGCAAGGTCAGTGTCAGGATGGAGTCCCTTATGGAGGAGCTAAAATCTCCCTTCTTGAATTGGAATCCAATGGAGCAAGGACTGTGTCCTCCAGGTCCAGGAGCCAGCCTGCTCACAGCCTGCTCCATCACAGAATGGGGAAACCAGTAGTCTCAGAAGGAACCTGTTCTTTAAACCGAAGGCTGCTTCAAGTAGATCAGTGTAGAAAAAATGCACTCAGGCCCTCCAACCAGCAGGCAGGAGAAGGACCTGTATTGACTGCCTGGCTGCCCCTAGGGCTGTAGAAAAGGTGGGATCCCCAGACCCGCAAGCACAGCAAATGGGCGATCCACCTCACCAAGACTGCTCAGTGTAGTCTAGGATGAATAATTAAGGCTATGAAAACAATCTAACTGCAAAGGTGTACAACCAAACATAAAGCTGGAAACCAATTTCTTCAAGCAGTTTTTAAAAGACCTATATAACAAAGATCTGATTGATATTCATGGGAAAGGAAAAGAGTAAATTCCTACTCCTCTTCCTCTCTTTTTTTCTACACACACACACACACACACACACACACACACACACACACATTCTACAACAGAAAACTAAGAAGAGAAATCCTTTATTTTTTTATCGTTTTATTTATTTTATTTTATTTTTTTTTTAGATAGGTCTCCTGTAGCTCAGGGTGGCCTTGAACTATTTAGCTAAAGATAATCTTCAACTTTTGATCCTTTCTCTGCCTCTACAACATTGGGGTTGCAGGCATGGACCACCCATACCAGTTTATGCAATGCTAAAAATATAGCCAAGGGGTACATACACAATGATTAAGGACTCCACATCTCCAGCCCCAGGACCCTATTTTCAGTAGAGAAATTTCCAAACAGAAATGCTTTATTCCTCATTCCTGAGTTCTCTCAGAAGCCCTGGGGTCATCATGATGTGAGACACATGGCAGCCATGTTCAGCCTGGTGTCCTCGGAGTCACCTTCTGAGCCGCAGGACAGTCCATACTCAACAGCCTGCCCAATGCTTGAACTGCAAAGAATTAGTACCTTACGACACGCATCAAGAAGGAGAAAGGAGCATTACAGTGCCGAGGTGGAGAAGCGGGCCCCACCTGAATCCTAACGTGATCTGACACTAACACCTCTGGAGAGGGAGCTTAATTAATAGCTAACCGGCTCACATTGGGGGAAAAAAAAAAGGCTCTCCTTCAGTGGAATTTTCCATCAGACTGGCTAACAATATCCGATGCCAGTGAGCTATAATGAAGCTGAAAACTCAAGAGAGTGTAAGAAAGAAAGGCTAAGTGGGAAGGGGCAGAGGGCAATCACTAAAAGGCATCAGCCGACATCTTTGAAACCCAAAATTCATGAAAGCAGGGCGTTCTCCGCCTTGATGGAACCACTCCATGTGAGAAGAATAGCACAGACCACGGAGAGAAACCGCCCTCCAGCTCACCTCCAAGAAACCTTCCCAAGGCCTCGAATGTAAACAGCCGGACCATCATTCAAGACCCATCCACTCAGCCCTCTGGAAACGAGACTCCTCGGGAGAAGTGCTTCTCTGCTCCCTGAACAGGATGCAGTGTTCTGAACCTCATTTATTTTCCATATAAACAGCACTTTTTGAGAACTGTGTGCTTAGCATAAGCTACTGACAAAGGCCATGCTGGCATTGTTTCCATCCCAGAAGGTTCTAACAGTGCAGGATAACAAGCTCCTAATAGGGGCTGGAGTGAAGGTTTGGCAAGCAGGAGAGCAGGCTGCTCTTGCGAGGACCTGGGTTTGGTTCTCACTGCCCACATGGCAGTTCATAACCACCTGTAATTCCAGTTCCAGGGGGATTCTGAAGTCCCTTTCCAGACTCTGCAGGAACTGTATACACATGAAACACATGCATACATGCAAGCAAACACTCATACACATAAAACAAAATTTTAAAGAAAAAAACTCATAATAAAATGTCCTCTGCTTCCAAGTCCTAAATGCAAGCAATGAAAAGGGTGCTATAAAAACATCATTAAATTCTATTTTAAGGAACTGGAGTCAAGGGAAGAGGACGTATTAAACCAAATGAGAACAATAAAACCCAGTGGGTTGCACAGCATAAGCTGGCGATGCATCTGTACAAAGAAGCCAGGCTGTATGGTTTCCTAAATTCCGCCTTAGGGGGAGAAAGCAGCATAGTGGCCAAAAGCCTAGAATGCACGCCAAGGGCAAAGCCTTGCAAAGGAGGAAGACAAGTTTTACGTGGTGACTTTGACTCCGTCTTCAGAGTCCTCAGGCTGGCAGACCAGGTCCCACCTGGAGGCACTAAGCACACATGTGTACTGCTAAAGAAAGATGCCGGGGACAAAATCCTGCCTCTCTCCACCTTCTCCCCTGCCCCCCTCTCTTCTACTTCCCTTCTCCCTTTCTATACTAATTAAATATGATTTAGCCTGAGCTATGCTTTTGGTAGAGATTAGTGAGCCTTCTGTCACTACCATAAAACATCAAGATCAAAATCAACTTGAGGAAGGAAGGAAGGAAGGGTCTGTTTCAGCTCATGGTCACAGCTGTCACCCAGGGAAGTAGGGCAGGGGCTCAAAGCAGGAAGCTGGAGGCAGGAACTGGAATAGAAACCTGGAGGAACTCTGTGTGCCAGCCTGCTCCCCATAGCTTGTTTAGGCTGCTTTCTTATGTAACCCAGGATCACCTGCCCAGGAACAGCACCACCCACAGTGGTGTGGGACCTCTCACATCAATCAGTAATCAAGAAGATGCCCTACAGGCCAATCCCTCTTCGCAGGTGACTCTAGCTCACATCAAAGTGACCGAAACTGACCAGCACAGTGGTGACTCGTACCAATCCTTTCCTGACTAGACCACTGCTAAGATCAGAGCCAGGTAGTCTAGGGTTTCAGATATCAGATAGGGCTGGTGACTCTGTGGAACTCATAGCTCTGACGGGTCTCAATGAAAAAAGAAATATAAAGGGAAGGAGAGGCCATGGCTGCTTCTAGGTCTGGTGGAGGAGAAAGTTCATTATAGAAGAAATGGAAAGCACAGGTAGAGGCGGAGCCGTCTGGAGGAGTTCAGAATGAGACAGGCCATGTGGGGAGAGGAGAGGGAACCGGGGAGCCAGGGGAACCGGGGCAGCAGCTGGAGGCCAAAAGTATAGAAGGGACAAGTAGCCAAAATGTCTGGGGGAAGGGCAGCACAGCCCCTAGGCTGGAGAGTTCAGGGTAGAGGACTGGGTTTGCGGGTCCTACTCTGTAACAGGTAGGGACTGAGGGGCAGGGGCGCTGGGAAAACCTGAAGGTCAGGTCCACTCTGATATGTTAAACAGGCACCTCAGTCATTTGCTTTGGGTTTGAAACTTAACAAGACTGAGACTGTGTAGGTACAGAGCACATATTCTCACACACACACACACACACACACACACACACATACACACTCACACATGTTGTGATCTAGCTGCCCTCACTCCCCCAACCGATAGTGGAACTTCCTTGTGGTCTGTAATGTAGAAGAAACAATGAAGGCTCTTCAGAGTCCTCAGGACTTTGAAGGTTGGTTTAGGGCTTCTGCAACACTGGGGAGGACACAGGTCTCAAGCCCAACCACAGGGACAGTGGCGAATTGTGCCTAACGCTGATGGCTCTTAATGGATGAGGGTGGTTCTGACTATACTAAAGAGAGTCTGGAATTCAGAATAACAGTCTGGACATTGATTCAGTGTTGGGGGGAGGAGGAATGAGGGATTTACTTAGAATGATTATCAACTGGCAGTTGATTCTGGCTAAATTGATCTAACAAGATTTTGCTAAAACTAAGCACTTGGAGATATGTCCAAAGACAGGGTATCTAGTTGGAGGAACCTGGCTAGTGTTTGGCCAGGAGGGAATCTCTGTCACACACCTCCCTCTGAAAGACCATAGCAGCAAACCATTCTTCCTCACACGGCTCTGGGGGCTGAGACGAGAAGGAGAGAGGAAGAGAGGGGAATGGATAGAGTAGAAACCAGCATTGTTTCTCTCAGTAACCATCATGGATTCTATCAGTTAACGCAAGGAAGATTCCCCTCACCCACTCTGCAGCACTTACAGTTCTCTGGGGCTGTAGGGGCTCAGAACACAGGAGAGACCAGATGGGCAGCCAGTAGAACGAGCAGTGATTGACAGTTACACAAGCTAGCACACACCAAGCATGTTCTCTGTGAAATGTTCCATGTCAATCACTTTGTAAATATTGACCTGTAGAATCCTCCCTCAGTAGAGTAGGTTCTGGGGTTTGGGCATGTCCCTCGCTCCAGTCCTCCATGACATGACTAGTAACACTAGAATTTGAACCTGTCTCTGTGAATGCCAGAACACAAGGAGAGAATAACAGAGAAAGGGAACTAGAAGTCAGAGAGAAAACAGGAAAAACCCAGTGACCTTGGTACCCACTAAGGACCAGTCCAGGTAGACGCAGGGCTGAGCTCTGTCTACAGGACAGAAGACGGAGCCTCGGAGGAGCTGGAAGATGACAGCAAAGGTGCCATCTCACTGAAGCCTGATGGCCCAAGTTAAACTGTACCATGGAGAGAAACGTAGGTCCATGCCGAAAGAGGAGGATGGATACCTCCGCTAGGAAGCCAGACTGCACAACAGGAGCCAACCAAAACAAATGCTTTGATGTGGAATTTCACTGTAGGGCCAAATAGAAAGAGGAGAGCCACCAGGAGCCCAGACTGGGAGTCCTCTTCCCACGAGATGTAGCAGACGTCACCGGGCATGAACCATGCTTACCAAATCTGCCTCTTCTCCAGAGCCCCTCCCGGCAGTATCCTTAGAACAAAGGCCACACTGTTGGTGCTCTTGATGTCCCCTTACTGCCGCCAACATGCTGAAGCACATTTGCAAGTATAATCTGACGAGCCATGTGCAGAAACTCTGAAGAGACAAAGCGCGCCCTGTGACCACCACTTTGGGTTTCCTGGGCCCCAAGGACCGCAGTTAGCTCGCTCTGCACTGCTCCCGTGGCTCCCACAGGCTGCCGACAGTATGATGTATATATAACACACGCAGTGAGCAGAGGACTCTGCAGGGAGACAGCTTTCGGGCGCACTCCCAGCCCTCCAGATCTGTGACCTCCATCGCGTTTGCTTGCTGTTCTAATGAAACGTGTACATATGAGGATCAACTTCCATCTCCCTTCCAGGGCCCAGCAGGAGGTAGGCTGTCCTCTCCCGGGCTCCAAATTTCTAAAACCACAGCTTTTAGGCGGCAGCGGCATGATGACACCAAACAGGAAGAGAAGAAATGAAGGAATGATCCTTTTCTTTCCGCCCTCCCGTGGACAAGATGTCATTTTTACCAACAAAACGGTGGTCAGATTTCCCTGAGATCACCCTGAGTACAAGAAAGGTCAGGAACCAAATTCAGGACAAAGAAAGATGACTAGAGACCACGGCCGACCCCAGCCTCGGCACCTCCAGGAAGTCCACCGGGCTGGAAAGATGGAGACAATGGAAGAAGAAAGCCTCAACTTCAGGGGTAAACTGAGACCTGGTTAATCGGACTCTTTGAATAAGACCCCCAAATTATCCTTGCTCCATTAAAGAGAACCGCTGTCTGGTAGTTCATAAAATGGAAATGTGCGTTCAAACATAGTTTACACTGAACGAAACTGAATGAACATTTAAGAATGAAAACAATAAAACTGACTTCCCTGATCTGTTTTGTTTTTTGTTTTTGTTTTTTTTTTTTTTTTAGTTTTTTTTTTCCCTCGGCACTGGAAGGGAGATGGCAGCACTGAATTGAGCTAGAGAAAGTGTAAAATACAAAGGAGGGGAGGGAGGCCTTTAATTCCATCTGTGAGAATTACTGAGCAAAGGGAAGAACAGGGGAAAAAGGAAGAAAGAAAAGAAGAGGGGGACGGGGAGTTTTGGGCTCTGACCCAGGTCATTACTACCTGGTCTTGTTCCTCCCTCTCTCTCAGGGTCACCATTTTCCCACCTGCAAAGCCCCTTCCTCTTGCAAACCGACCTCTGGAAGGTCAGCGAGACACTAAGGTGGCACCCTCGCCTGGTCTCCAGGGTTCGCTGCCATGGCTTTTTAGATGGTAATTCTACGGTCTACTGAAAAGCTTTGAAAAGAGGCTCTTAAGTAATGAAAGAATCCAGTGGGGTTTAAAGTCCTGGCAAGCTGACACCGCTCGGTCCCAGAAAGGGACAAAAGCACGCTGCAGAACGGGTTTGGCCTGGAACTGAAACCGCTCAGAGAAGAAAATGTTTGCAATGGAGACAGGTGTCACTTCCAGAGGGGACTTAGCAAGGGCCAGTTTCCCAGTATAGTTTATTTAACTCAAGAGGTTTCACTCAGGCCGATGTCTCATCATCCCAGACACCAGAAAGAACTGCCAGAAGAGAAGGCAATATTTAAATATTTGAGATTTGTGTTCAAGCAATGTAAGTTTTCTAATGTTGTGTTCAATGTATTAAGTTCCGTTGTGGAACTATTTTTAACCAAGCTCGTCCACATACGAGTCTGATCATGGAATTCTCGTTCTGTCTGGGAGACTGAAGAGTTTCCAAACAAGTGTTTGCTGGTCAAAGATTAAGGAAAAGAGGATGAGTCCCAGCAGGATCTGTTTACACAGTGAGTGACTGAGCCCAGGCTCAGAGGCACCAGCCATGGGAGGGTGTGTTAGCATCCCCAGCCACCCCAGCTGCCCCAGCCAAGTCCCTGGAAGGCAAGAAGGGTTCAAATGACATCTCCCTCCCTCTCTCTGCTGCACCCCTTTAATATAGTTCCTCATGCTGTGGTGACCCCCCAACCATAAAATTATTTTGTTGCTACTTCATAACTGTAATTTTGCTGCTGCTATTAATCGTAATGTAAATATCTGATATGGGACCCCCCTAGAGGTCGTGACCCCACTGGTTGAGAACTGCGTGGGCAGAAGTGCTCACTTGGGAGAATACAAAGCAGGAGCCCTTTGGGTGTTCCTGCCTCCTGCAACAACTTCCTAGAACAATCCCTGCTCTGCCTGGCCAGTTCCACTTCGTATACCCATCACTGTCTCAGCTTAAGATGAAACCTACAACCATGGGAGTCAAGCCAGAGATCAGAGTCCTTAACCCAACACCGCGGCCTTCGGGCGGAGAGGGTCAAGGGCGTTTTCAGTATATGGCTGAGGACAGGAATCAAGGCCCTTCTCTCTGAACTGGCTGTTCCCTTTCAGTCTTCTGTCTTTGTTCCTTTTAATTCCTTTTTTAAAAAGTCACCAAAACTGCCATTAGAGTTAGGACAATGGTCTTTCTGGCTTCTTCAAGCTGAGTGAACGTGGCAGTTAAGTGTCCCAGTGTGTGTTTGCCACCCTAGCTCTGGCTCATTCGTTCTGCTGCTACTTGTCACTCTTGTGTACCAACAGACACCTTATCCACCTTCCCAGTGACCAACAACTCATCTGCTTCCTACTTCCCAGTAAGCTACGGCGCACAGATTGTTTAGATTTAACCCACTTCTGCTGCTTCAGTTATTTCCTTTGCTTCCGTTGCTTTTGGTTGACTTTAAAATTTACCACCTAAGGGGGCTGGAGAGATGGCTCAGCAGTTAAGAGCATTGCCTGCTCTTCCAAAGGTCCTGAGTTCAATTCCCAGCAACCACATGGTAGCTCACAACCATCTGTAATGAGGTCTGGTAATGAGGTCTTCTGGTTAGCAGGCATACACACAGACAGAATATTGTATATATAATAAATAAATAAATAAATATTTTTAATAAAAAAAATTTACCACCTAATAGATGTTACATAGTTAAGCCAGATAATCTCAGACCACAGTAAGTGTTGCTTTTTGTAAGTCCTCTGACATGCCACTCCTGATGATAATGTCTCGTGGATTGTCTCTGCCAACCTTCCACCCAGGTGCGAGTGGGCCATGACTTTCATATCAAAGGGCCAAAAATTCCACCTTCCATGTTGGGTGGGAAAGGAGGTGGGGAAGAGCTGGTGGAGGAGGAAAATCATAATCAAAATATATTGTATGAAAAATGTTAATTAAAAATTCCATACTAGTGCCACCGTTTTCTGAACACGTGTCCTGTGATGAGCCACGGAGTTGGATCGTGCATGTGAAGACCACCCATCTCTTCACTTTTCCTCACTTCCAATCACCTTGCCCCACACATAAAGCTCCCCTGCTTCTTTAGCTCATGAGTAACCCTAAACTCTGCCCTTGGAGAAGTGTATTTAATGTCCTGTCTCCTCAGGCTTGACTCATTCATAAACAAACTGGGTTTGGTACTGGAGTGATGACTGGGCTGTGGGGTTCTGTCGTAGCGGCCCAACTTGATTAAGATCGCAATATGAATAGTGGTACGCACTAGTAAGAGCACTGTTCTCTCTGTACTTCATTGTATGACTCTTGTGGAGCTGCAACAAAATGGTAAAAATGTCTCACTTCCTACACAAGCCTTCCACCACCACACGGAACAGTGGAACAAGACGTTAGTGGGGGCTGTCTGGAGGGAGTCTCCAGTTTCTTCCACATTCCTCCTTCAGCTAAGCCCAGGGCCATGCCAATTTCACTGCCCTCGCAAGTCTAGTGAAGACATCCCCAAGGCCATCAGCAATGTCCATCCCTGAGGTTTGCCTTGGCCTCAGTTTACCTGACTCATATGGGTAAATTCCTTCATCATGAGCTGAAAAAATAGCAGAAGGGATGACAAGGGAGGGAGGAAGGAAAGGAAGAAAGAGTGGGAGAGGGAGGGAGGAGATACATAGATGTACATGAGAACACCATGGGATCATGGATGATTTTTTTGTTAGTTTGTTTTCTAATTTTTAAAATTATAAACATGCATTGCCTTTTCAATAAAAAGGAAGGTATTTTGTGTTTATAGCACTTAAACCACACACTATTGCAGGAAGTGCACACAGAACTCACCAGCTCTCAACACATCCTGTTTAGTTTTGATCTTGGGTCAATCTGCCCTGCTCTTGGGTGATTTAAGTAGTTTCAGATTTCTTATTTGTCCAAGAAGGCAAAATAGGTGAAGCTCTGGTACCCAGACCAGCAGAGGGTGCGGGCTCTGCAGCTCTGTACCCAACTAGGCAAAGCTATGATAAGAAGAGAGACACCCAGGCTACCAGGAGCTGGCACTGCAGACTCCTCATACTGCCTTTGAAAACACTTAGAGAGGGATGGGAGGCCCCCAAAGGCTCAGGGTCTAAGGAAAGTCTTATCTTGTGTTTCTAGATTGAACCACCTGCTTCAAGTGGTGGTGATGACAGCACAGGTGAAGACCCATCTGGTGCAATAAACGCACTTCACACAGCTTTCAAGGACCTTTCCTCTCTAGATCCCACTGCAGCCTTGACTGAATTCATGTCCCACTCTTTCTGCTTCCCTGTCTCTGCTTAAGATGGCCCAGAGCTGTTGCTTCGATTTTAAGTCATATCAACATTGATTAATTCCCATTCTGTACTCAGTTTATGATGATGGAAGTTACAAAATAATCCCACACTAGTTCAGAATTGCATATAATAAAAGGTTATTTATTTATTTAGACTCACAGATCACAGTCTTCTGCATGAACAGGGAACAGGAACCGAATCTAACAGCTGGAAGCAAGAGCTGGAAACAAGAGAGCAAGCGCAAGCTTTACAGCTGCATTTATAGTGTAAGAGACCACGCCCAAGTGGGCTGGTATCTTAAAGGCTATTGGCTGAAGGAGCTCCCACAGCACCTCCCCCTTTTGTTTAAATAAGGGAGTTCCAAACCCAATATAAAACTATATATACTAGGAACAGATAACAAGTATAAGATTAGAATTACATTCAGCATAAACAATATTAAGCAAGGAACATATGCTAAATGATTTAATAAACATTCTATCCTAAGGAATCTAAGTCTTGGATTAGAAATGGCTTGGCTAGATCAGAAGAAGACAGTAACTACGACTATCTAACTTTCAACCCCATCGAAGGCCTGAGAAGGGAGCCTTCTGTATGCCGTGAATTTTATTGGTTAATAAAGAAGCTGCTTTGGCCTGTGATAGGGTAGAACAGAGCTAAGCAGGAAAAACTAAACTGAATGCTGAAAGAAAGAAGGCGGAGTCAGGAGAAGCCATGTAGCCCTGCCAGAGACAGACATGTAGCCCTGCCAGAGACAGACACCTGATGGAACCTTGCTGGTAAGCCACAGCCATGTGGTGATACACAGATTAATAGAAATGGGTTAAATTAAGATGTAAGAGCTAGCCAATAAGAAGCTATAGCTAATAGGCCAAGCAGTGATTTAATTAACACAGTTTCTGTATGGTTATTGTGGGGCTGAACATCCTGGAACAAATAAGCAGCCTCATACAACAAGCTTAGTAACCGACATTGCTGTTGCCAAGTGCTACCAAAGAGATTTATTTTTGAGACAGGTCTCGTTCAATAGTCCTGGCTGACCCAGGATTCCTCAAAATAGTCCAGA